ATATAAATAAAGGGAAATAAAAAAAAATAAAATAAAAAATAACAAAAAAAATAAGTTGAGAATTTAAATATTGATAATAGGGGGTTATGTAGCGTTGATTACCTGAAATTGAACAAAGGTTAATTAATGAAGAAAACTTATTTAATGGAAAAAAGCCAGCGGCATAAAAAACCCAGATTTGTTAAGAAACGAAGACAAATACAAATTGATGAAATTGATAACTAATGAGATATGAAAATGCGGAATTTTAAATGCGGACTGGTCTTGTGTGCGTAAATGCGGATGTGTATGATTGTACGGAAGGACCTACTGGTAACGACTTCCGGTGTGTGAGTATGCGAGGAATTAATGAAGGCAGAAATAGGATTCCCTTGCGAACCGACGGGCCCTGCTCGGTCGCACGAGTCAGCGCAAGGCTGGTGAAAGCGGACCGACGTCCGGAAATGTGGAATTGCCCCTTGCGACAATTCAGATGCAGCTGGCGCTGCGATCGATAGATCGGGCGAGGAGTTAACTATTCCGTCTCGAGAGGCGTACAGGACTAATGATGCGAACAAACTTATGCGAGAGGAGAGAGCGATAGCACGTTGGTTGGGTTGGCGAGGATGTAGAATATGCCCTGGTGATAGTAGCAAAAATGGTGGACTACAGAAATGTAGAGAGAGAGAGGGAATGTACAGCCACTGGGAAAGGGTTGAATAAAAATGTGGAGCGTGTACGAGCGAGAAAGAATGAGAAAATAAATGAAATGAAACTAAGTACATAGAATATAAAAAAATGGGGAGATAGCAACAAGTAGAAAATAGCTTGAGAACAAAGGTGAAGATAGTATAAAGTTGACAGAGATATAGATATATATTGAATTGGAAAGGGTTAGAGAGAGAATGTCAGACGTATAGGAGCAATAGATCAGCAGAGAAAAAGAGAGAGAAAAGTAGAGGAAGACGTGGAAAGGGGTTGAGTATGCGGAGATATGTAGAATGTTAGGAGAGAATGTGGGAAAGATACAGAGGGAAGTTAAATGATTAAACGTATAAGAGCGAGTATAATGAAAGGATGAGGTGACTTAGCGTTGGCGTGATCCTCTGGTGGTAAGCGTCTGGTACAGCCGTCGACTCCTGGTGTACGATGACCTTGAAGCGAGAAGGCAGCAAAATGCAGGCGTTGGTAGTTATAGAGATGCGTGCGGTTAGGCGTGCAAAAAGCAATAGAGCGAGAGAGCGCCGACAAGCATACGCGTAAGTCTCAACCCCCCACCCACTGCCACTCGTACATTGGCCAGCCGTGAGCCACCCAGCGATGAGATTAAGCGGGCGCAGAGAAGACATAAGAGAAAAGGTGTATTTGAGTTGAACCGTATACAAACGCTCCGTTTGATTTCCGTCTCTCGACGGAACACTCTGTTAAAAAGTGCTTTTGCTGTTTCTAAAGCCGTCGCTCTTTTTACTGGTACCAGAATTATATATTTCGTGCTAGTTCTGAATTGACAATATGTGACTATTGCCATGTGCTGATGGTTTGTTTATCGGGACATAAAAATCAATTGATATTTTTTCAAATGGCCTGGCTGCTGTATCTGTTACAACTAGAGCCTGTTTTGTTCTTACTCTAACAAGTTTATTAGATTGGCATGATTCACAACCTAACACGAACTGACGTTCTTCCGGTCGCATATTTCGCCAATAATAATCCTTCGCAATTTTGTTGTAAGTCTTGTTCATACCTCGGTGGCCTCCTACCGATGACTCGTGGTATTCTTTGAGTACATTAAATTGTTGCTCCACTGGTGGTACTACTAAATTGTTAAAGTACAACACTGCCGATATTTTTGTGTTTTTAAACTGCTCTGCAAAATAGTCCCACTGTGATACGCTTAGTATTGCTAGATCTCGTATAATACCTACTGACGTCAAGTTGTTAAACAACATGAGCTGTTTTAAAGACGACATGCATTTCTTAATATCCGATTTTAATCCCGCACTGTCAAAGTGCTCTTTCACGTATAATTGCATTACTTATACTTTTCTTGCTCTTGATAGAAAGACCTCTCCAACCCTCCTATTTTCTTTATTCATGGCTGTTGGATTTATATAACCTCTCTCGTGAAGTGCGTCTATGGCTTCTGTGTCCGGTATGTTTTCTGTTATTGTAAAGAAGGCTAAGTTGTCAATGTATCGAAATGGGTGTTCGTTTATTTTCTTAAGCCTTTGGAATGGTGGTATATCATTATCATCCTCTGGCTTCCAAGGTGGTTTTTGTACTGGTAGTCGTGTCTGGCAAGCTCTGTACCTATCTAAACCTGGTATACTTATATTGATTTTGCCATCATCTGTGCTTTCGGCATTGTCATCTTCCACCATGTTCGCATTAAGTAACTCCTTTTAATTTTCATTATCGCTAATTTCTTTTTTGTGGCTTCCACTATTTACGTCGTCATCCGATAT